TATCATTCAAGGTACATAATACTAATATTTATTTCCTTGTCAATCAGGAACTTAGGTTCAAAGAGGTTCACCAACGCACCACAATGCGCATAATTAATAGTGAGCTAGAGCTGCGGCTTTCAGGTTCTCCAGACACCAAGTGCTGCTGCTGTACCACCTGATGTGTTAGAAGTCCCAATGTGGGAGTGGGAACCAAACCCGAATCCTTTACAAGAGCAGTGGGTGCTCTTAACTCCTGAGCCATCTCCTTTTTGTTCTATAGCTCTCATTATATTGGAACTTGCTATGTAGGCTGGCCTGGCTTCTAGCAGCTCTCCTCCTGTCTCTGCCTCCACAGTGCTAAGATTTACAGGAGTAGACTGCTACACCCAGATGAAAGTACTATTTAAATAACTATTCACAACTCAGTTTGCATCAATTTAGCTTTTCCTCTGCAATCAGTGCAAAATGGGGTGAGTAGATGAATAGAATTTGAGTTTTCTTGACTTGTTAAAATGGAACTGCAGTTATGACAGGCTCTTCATGAAGTGCTCATGTGATGAGAGGTTTGTTCAGTTTCCTTTTTACTTAGTAAATGCTCTATTCTCTCTTCCTTTGCCAATTCACAATTCTTACAGAGAAAAAGAGAGACCAGCGGTTCTGTCCTGTGGCAGATGAGGAGGCAGCTTCTTCTGGAGTTGATGGGCATTCTTCCTACAGTGAGGAGTACTCGTATTGTAGAAGAAGCCGATGTGGATATGGAGCCCACTGTATCTGTGTACTCGGGGCTGAAGGAAGAGCATGTTGTGAAAGCCAGCGCACTCTTACGTCTATACTGTGCCTTGATGGGGATTGCTGGACTCAAGTACTCAATTTCATATTTTACCTTTTTATCTTTTTCTTGTTTCTAATCTCAGAGAAGTGAGCCAAAGACTTTTTTACTAAGAGGCTCAGGCTTTTAATTTTACCAGCTATGTCAAGATTAAAGATGTTAAGTCCAACTGTCTTTAAGGAATATTTTGATGTAGTTTCTGATTACAAATAGAATTATGCAGATATTAGAGGGATGAGAGTACTTTGTCAGTTTTTAATCATAGTAAAGGACCCTGTGATTTTACCAGTTTAAGAAGATACTCCTAAGAGACCTGTGAGTGATCCACAGGGTCAGGTAAAGACTCCTCTGTTTTAGAATTGACAGGATGTGGTTCTTAGCACAAGATCCTAAGTCACTGCATCAAATCTTTCTGAATAGTGTCCTCAGCTGGTATTGGAATATTCCTGTATGTGTCTCATGTGCCTTTCAGGTCTGACAGTTTAATTAAGCAAATGATAGCCCAGAAATTTGGTTTAAATTTAAGTTATTACAATCCATTAGCCCCATAATTCTATAAAGTATAAGGTGCTGTGAGCTCTGCAGGACACATAAGTGACGTGAGCTTGTCATGAATGTGACCTCGGCTATTACTACCTTTAAAGTCTGTTGGCACTGAATCCTGCTTGTTTTTTGCAGAGGCAAAGTAATTCTGTTTTCCATTTTTTCAGTGATAAATCCATATGCCATTAAAATGCAGACAATTGGAAAGAGAATTGACCAATAATGATGAAAGTATAGGGTAATGGCTCAGTGTTAAGAATGCTTTCTCTTTTTATCCAACTGAATAGGAAAAAAAAAAAAAAAAAAAAGAAAGAAAAGAAAAAAAAAGAAAAAAGAATGCCTGCTCTGGCTGGGCATTGGGGGTGCAACATGCCTTTAATACCAGCACTTGGGAGGCAGAGGCAGGTGGATCTCTGTCAGTTCAAGGCCAGCCAGGTCTACAGAGTGAGTTCCATGACAGCCAGGGCTAAACACTGCCTCAAAAAACCAAAAAAAGAAGAGAGAAAAAAAAAAAAAAAGAATGCTTGCTCTGCAGTCACTGCAATCACGATGACTTTTGTTTGAACAGCACTCACACTCACCTGAAAACCTGAGCATGGCTGTACATGCCCACAACCTCACTATTGTGAGGTAGAGATATATAACTGTCTCCAGAACTTTCTGTTCAAAAGTCTAGTGGGAACAACTAGTTTCTACTTCAGGGCCCACCTTGCCTCAAGGCAATATTGTCATATTGCTCTCCTGCATGTGTGCCTAGACACAAATACCCATACATTGTGTACTATCATACACCATACATACAACACAATACATGTACACTCCACACATATTATACCACACACACACAGACACACACACAAAATAAGTAATTGAATGTATCTTTTATAAGTAACATTAAAAAGTTTGTACTTGAAGGATTTAAATGTTGGAAAATCCACTTGCTTCCTTCCTGAACTAAAAGTAGATAAATAAATGTAAACCCCATTGTGTTTCCCCTTTCAGACCTACTGAAGAAGAAGCTGAGCAGTTGTTGCAGTTAATGACCAGCCGCCCTCCTGCCACACCAGCTGGGGTTCGATTTGTTTCCCTGTCTTTCTGTATGCTATTGGCCTTTTCTACACTTGTCAGGTACCTTACTATATAAGTTCCTCTACTCTTCCAGAATGTGCTTTTATTTATTTATCAAAATGTATGTACGGGGTGGGGGGGTGAGCCTATAGTGTAGGTAGTATGTTTGTCTAGCACATATGCTGTCACCAGAAAGGGTATGTAGCATGTTATTAAAAGTTAACCACAGAGACTGGCCTAGGCATGGACAGTCATGGTCTCCTTCAATGAAGGGTGTTAGCATCTAAATGCCATCCATTGCTTAAAGCAGTCAGATTGCTTTTGAAGGCTAGTAACTTTCATTCCCCACTTTTCCTTCCTTGGAGGTGGTATCTTTTAGTTCTTGAGTAATTTTGGGTCTTACTAGTACATTGTTTAAAATGTTTTTAAAATCTTTTTAAAATCTTTATTACCTGTTTATTTTTTGTGTCTAGTTCCTTGTGTGTGTGTGTGTGTGTGTGTGTGTATGTCTGTGTGGGTGCGGTGTGGTTATGCACTAGTGCTTTGATGCATGTGTGGAGGTCAAAGGATAGTTTGCTGGAGTCACTTCTCTCCTACTGTGTCGGCTTCAAAGATGAAACTCTGGTCATCAGGTTGGTGGCAAATGCCTTTACCCCTTGAGTGCTCTCACTGGCCCACACGTCTTCATAGATGATGATACTTTTAGGTATTAGCTAATTGAATTCCCATTTTCAAAGATGAACAATTAGTTTTTTTTTTTTTTTTGTTTTTTTGTTTTTCTCTCTATCTGGAAACACACTGTATATCTTCTTTTTCTTCTTTTCCTTCTGTTATCTTAGTATAGTTATAATAGTTTGTTTTGTTTTTATTTTTTGAGACAGGGTTTCTCTGTAGCTTTGGAGCCTATCCAGGAACTCCCTCTGTAGGCCAGGCTAGTCTTGAACTCACAGAGATCTGCCTGCCTCTGCCTCTTGGGTGCTGGGATTAAAGGTGGGAGCCACCACCATCTGCAAAACTAAATCTTGCTGGTTGTGGTAATTCATGCTTCTAATCTCAGCCCACAGGAGACCAAGGCAGTGCCATCAGTTTGAGGCTAGTCTAGGCTACATAATGAGACTCCGTCTCAAAAAACAGTAACAACAAAACAAAAAATGAAGGGGAAAAAAAAAAAAAAAACCTCAGACACACAAAACTGTACAACAAAGAAACAAAATGTAGCTAAATCTCATCTGGCCCCAATCTGACTCATTAGACAGTCTGTTTACTCTTCTCAGAAATCTTGCCTAGGGCACTGTTGTCTACTCCAGTCTTACCTGGATCCCTCTGTACAGAGTGTTTTGCAGCTGTACATAGGAATTCTTCATTTGCATCTTTAGAAAGCAAATCCTTCAGAGCAGGGGTGGATTTCTGAAAATGCCTCTATTCTGACATTTGGCTAATGGCATGTAGAGTTCTAATCAGGAAGTACTTTCTTTGGAGGATTTTGAAAGTGTGTGTCCCATTGTCTTCCTAACTTCATGTGTGTTGTCATTTCCTAGCTTCATCACAATTCCTGCTCTCTTTGGGAGTTGCATTTCATTGTGCAAGCATGTAGGGTTAGCTCTTTCTCCCATGGTTTTGAAATTTCTGGATGAGAATGTTGGTTCTGAATGTCTTTTTGCTTGTTTTGTTTTGAATTTTGTTTATTTGAGGCAGTCTTCCTGGCTGTGCTGGACCTCTCTGCTTCACCTTCCAATTCTGGGATTATACATGCACCTATCATCCTGCCCAAGTTTGTATTGATCCATCTTTCTCACCACACAGTGGGTTCTCACCTACTAGAAACTGATGTCCTTTAGTTCTGTGAACTGTTCCTGAATTAATTTGTTGGTAATGTCCTTCCCTGGTGTTTCTTTATCTAGCACTCCTCTTGTGTGACTTCTTTCAGAGAAGATCATGGGATTTTCTTATTTTATACTCTTTTCTGTGCTTTGGAAAAACTGCCATAAAACATATGAGATTAACTTACATAGTTGTACACTTTAGTTACCATTCAGTGTTCTTAGTGTAGTTATACAATCATTGCCATAATCTAATTACAGGATATTTTCACCATTCCAGGAAGAAACTGTTTCACCCTCAGCCTTGGTCTTCATGTGCAGTGTTTATTTCTTTTTAGTAGAAAGGGTTTATTTCGCTTCACAATGCAAGGTGACAGTATGTGACAGCAGCAGCAGCAGGGACTTGGAAGAAGTTAGTCACATTCCATCCATAGTCGAGAAGCAGAGCGCAATGAATGTTTACCCTCTGCTCACCCTGTCCTCAGCTGCCCCAGCCTATTGTACTTACAATAGGTGGGCCTTCCCACTTCCATCAGCTTACTCAAGATAATACCCTAGAGGTATACACAAAGGCCCATCTCCTGGGTATTCTAGATTTCATAAGTTGAAAATTGAGATTAGTCATCACAACCCTATCTCTTGTCACCTTGATACCCAAATACAGCATCATTTTAAATCATAACGTTTTACTCCTTATCACCACCAAAGTCTCATGTTCATCTCATAAATCAATATATAATTCAACTTCAAAAGTCCCGCCAAATATGGAACGCTTCACGAATTTTCGAGTCATCCTTGTGCAGGGGCAATGCTAATCTCCGTGTCTTTCCAATTTTAATATATGTGCTACTGAAACAAGCATGGCAGTGTTTATTTTCTAAGCGTTCTCACTTTGTTCTTTGATTCCTTTCTTTATTTTATTTTTCTGACACAACTTGTATTGTTGAGATTGTCCTTCAACTCCCAATTTTTCTGCTTTTAACTCCCAAACACTGGAATGTTTGGTCTTTGATTGATTATTTCTTCTTTATAGTAGCCACTGCTTTATTGAAGGGGTACTGATATTCTCTAAGACCCTTTTGTTAAAGGTTTTTTTTTTTATTGCATTTATTTATTTTGTGTGTACATGTGTATGTGTGTGAGCATGCATGTGTGTTGAGATCAGAGAACAATTTATGGGAGTCAGTTTTCCTTCCTAATGGCAGGCCCCAGGGGTCAAACTCAGGTGCTTTGCTCCCTAAGCCTTCTTTTTGGCCTAGAAATTTCTTTTAATGTGATTTTAGTGCTGTTCAAGAAAGTATAATATTAGTAAAATTAAAAATAAATAATGTTAGCTAGGTGGTGGTGGCACATGTCTTTAATCCCAGCACTAGGGACGCAGAAGCAGGTGGATCTCTGTTAGTGCAAGGCCAGCCTGATCTACAAAACCAGTTCCAGGATAGCCACAACTTTTACACAGAGACCCTGTCTCGAAAAAGCAACCAGCCAGCCAACCAACCAGCCAACCAAACAACCCTTAAATACATATCAAAAGTGATGTTAGCTATATGCTTCTAGCCCTCCCTGCCAAGTCCTCATTACCTCTAGTTCTCATTACTCTGTAGCGTCATACTTAGTTGGTAGAAGGACTAAAGTTCAGAAGGATAAACTTTTGTGTCTAAGATCATACTATGAGTAAAGCACAGATGGGAGTCCCACCACGGTCTGGCCAGCCCTCAAGGCATTCTCCCGTAGAGCATTGTCCTGCTTTAGTGGAATGATTGAAGGATTACTGATTATAGTATAATGTATAAGTATAAATGACCTTTTAAATTTTTTTTTTTGTTTGGAGCAGTGGGAAAAGCACAGTTTAGTTGCTTTGTATTTTACTTATTTTCCTGCAGTAAAGTGGAAGGGAACCATGACATTTTTTGTACAAGTCTAAGTCAAACTGTGTCTTTTAGTTTTAAATCTAATAATTGTTTTAAAGAAGTTATTACTGTTGGGCTGGTGAGATGTCTTAGTGGGTAAAGGCACTAGCCACCAAGCTTGATGACCTGAGTTGGATTCCCGGGACTCACCTGGGAAAGATGAGACCCGATTCCTGAAAGTTGTCTTCTGACATTTACGCATATGCCATGGTGCAAACACCTCCTCATCTACTTCTCCACAAATAAATAAATGGACAAAATTTTTTTTTTTTTTTCGAGACAGGGTTTCTCTGTATTGGTTTCGAGCCTGTCCTGGCACTCACTCTGTAGACCAGGCTGGCCTCGAACTCACAGAGATCCGCCTGCCTCTGCCTCTGGAGTGCTGGGATTAAAGGTGTATGCCACCAACACCCAGCAGAAAAGAAAAATTTAAAAGAAGTTATTACTTTTACATTTTTCATAACCATTTTCATATATGGTAAAGCTCACGTTCTTATCTTTATGATTAGTAATAATATTTCTGTCTAAAGTTTAAAATTCTACTCAAAAGATTTTCATAAATTAAATTTGAAAAAAAGAGATTCGTTAATTAGTTGGTTTTTGAGTTTTTAATGCCTAAGATCTTTTGTTGTTGTTGTTCTATTTTGTTTGTGCGTGGATTTTTTTTTTTTTTTTTTTTTTTTTTTGAGACAGGGTTTTACTATGTAGACCAGGCTAGCTTTGAACTCACAGAGATCTCTGTGCCTCTGTCTCCCAAGTGCTGGGACTAAAGGTTGAGCTACCAAATCTGGCCCAGCTGATGCTTACGTTATAACACTAGATTTTTTTTTTTTCCTATATGAAGCAAGTGATCATTCTTAGTATAGTTCTTTTAACATTTTAACCTCAGAGACCTTTGTTTTTCCAAGGAATAAGAGGGTATGCCACTCTATCTAGCTTTCAAATATAGTTACTAAGACTTAAGGAGGTTTTGATAGTTCAGATTCATGAAGCCAAAGGCCTTATCTTTGAGTTCTAGAACTATCTCGTTTCAATTATAATCCAGTTTAGCAAATCATTAGTTTGAGTTGGTATTTCAAAATAGAGGAGAAAATAATTCCTAGGAAAAAATAACTCCAGGGCTGGGGAGATGGCTCAGTGGTTAGTAACACTTGCTGCTCTCGCAGAAGGCCTGGTTTCACTTCCCAGCACCCATCTGTAATTCTAGTTCAGAGCATCCGAGGACACCAGGCATGCGCATGGTACATATGTACACATGTAGGCAAACTTTTCATATGTTTAAAATAAGAGTAAATAAGTCTTTAAAAATAAGGGGGAAATATTATGAGAAAGACTGTGTTCTTGCTTGATGGCTGGCTCATGGGTGTGCCGGTGGTTTCTCTTTAGCACACCAGAGCAGGAGCAGCTGATGGTGGTGTGGCTTAGCTGGATGATCAAAGAAGAGGCGTACTTTGAGAGGTAAGGAGGCAGTTACGTGTTCACTCGGGAACGAAAGCTTTCTTGTTTATCCCCATCTTGGAAATTTATAGTTTCTTTTCTGTTTTAACAGTACATCAGGTGTTTCCGCTTCTTTTGGGGAGATGCTGTTATTGGTGGCCATGTATTTCCATAGCAACCAGCTTAGTGCTATCATTGACTTAGTCTGTTCCACTTTGGGGATGAAGGTAATTTTTAATAATCTTTTTTTTTTCCTGAAAGAAAGAAAGGGTGTCTAGACATTCTGTCATAGTAGAAAATAAATACATTATGTTCATTTAAGTAGTTTTAGTTGTTTGCTACTTTGAAGTTTTATTAAGGAATTTCTAGAAAATAGGAATGTTTAGAACATTTATTCAAATTTTGTGTATGTATGTCTGTCTGTGTGGGCATATATACACATGTAATGCAATTGCCCATAGAAGCCAGAAGAGGGATGAGAACCTCTGGCGCTGTTGTGAGCCACCTGACATGAGTGTTAGGAACAAAATTTGTGTCCTTTTCAAGAACAGTCCACTGGTGAGTCATCTTTCTAGCCTTCTTCTTTGTTGTTGTTGTTGTTGTTGTTTGAGACATGCTGGCCTGCAATTCATGCTAGTTTGACTGGGTTTTTAATTTCCTATGTAGATTTTCTAATTTATTATAAAGCTTAATTGAATAAATTCATTTATGTAAATATATACAGAGGTAGTCACACATCTATATCTTCATGTACTTCTGTAGCAAGCAGTTACTTGTATATAATTGTGTTATTTGTTATTTATGAGTGTGTTGAATACTGTCAGATTATTTTTTGTAGAGCTCTTCCCAATTTCACTGTTCACATTAGTATATGAGAGCCCTTGGTTTCCTAAAATCTTACCATGCCTAGACAGCCCCATTTTTTTTTTTAATTTTTGCTTTTATATTTATTTATTAAGACAAGGTCTCCTTATATAATTCGGGCTATCCTAGAACTTGGTATGTAGATCAGGCTGACCTCAAACCCACAGAGATCAGCTTGCCTTTGATTTCTGAGTGCTAGAATTAAAAGGTGTACATCACCATGTCTGGCCTGCGTATTTGATTGGTAGAGAATGGTCCAGTTTGTTTTATATCTTGTTGACTATTAGTAAAACCAGTTTTTGTTTTGTTTTGTTTGTTTTGAGACAAGGTCTTACCTTGTAATCCAGACTGGCTCAGACTTTCATGTGGTTCCCCTTACTATTCCATGGGAGTGTGGGTCTGTAGGCGGGAGTCATAACACTCAGCTTACTAGACTTTCTTCTAGTTTATTTGTGGCTTCATGCTTTACATTTAAATCTTTTTTTTTTTTTTTTTTCAGTACTAGTGAACAAACACAGGGCTTTACTTATACTAGGCAAGCACCCTTCCACTGAGTTATATGTACCTCAGTTCTGCACTGATTTTAATTTTATTCTTTTTGAAAAACTTGCTGTGTAGTGTCATGTGTATAACAAAGTATGTTTAGGAAATATGTATGTTTTTTGTCTCCATTCATTGGATAAACCTTCTCTATCCACTAGTAGTTAGTAGCAATAGCTATTAGCTAGTGCCAGTAATTAGTATTATTTATTAAGTAATTGTAAAGTACATCTTACCTTTATTTTTGACAGAAGGGATTACTATATTGCCCAGGTTATTCCTGATCTCCTGGGGTCTAGTGATCCTCCCGCCTCCTCCTCCCAGGTGCCAGAGACTACAGGCATGCACACATGTGCACCCCTTTTACTAAGTATATATTATATTGGTTCTGCTTCTGTGTCCCTTAATGTCATGTTTGAGAAGCCACTGGTGAAAGAAAAGTAGTTTAACTTTTGAACATGAATATTGTGCATCATAACCCATTTTGGGTAATAAATTCATGGGAGTAAATGCATTTCATACAGTTTTTCATTCTGATGGAACTCTTTTTACTATTTTAGATTGTGATTAAGCCAAGCTCCTTAAGCAGGATGAAGACTATCTTCACACAGGAAATCTTTACTGAGCAGGTACTTCCTTTTGTCCTTAGCTACTAACTAAACTACGTCAAAGAATAAAGTCTTTTTTCATCGTTTCAATTATAGTGATAATTTATTTCGTCTTTTAACTCTCTATTAATAATTTACTTTAAGTAACTCATTATAAAACAGTATGTGTTGAGATATATTTTTGAGAACTTTAACTGGGTGCTTAAGAGTGTGTTGTAGATCCTGGTGATGTACTCCTGTGGGCTAACCATTTGGATTGCTGTGAGAAAACAGAGCCTTTAGCCAGGCGTTGGTGGTGCACGCCTTTAATCCCAGCATTTGGGAGGCAGAGGCAGGCAGATCTTTGTGAGTTCGAGGCCAGCCTGGTCTACAGAGTTAGTTCTAGGACAGGTTTCAAAGCAATATAGAGAAACACTGTCTTGAATAAACAAACAAAACAAAACAAAAAGCCTGGAGAGATGGCTCAGTCATTAAAGACTAGGCTCACAATCAAAAATATAATG